GTTTAGGGTTGAGTGTTGAGGGTTTAGGGTTTAGGGTTTAGGGTTGAGGGTTGAGGGTTTAGGGTTTAGGGTCTTGGTTCAGAATTTCGGGTTCAGGGTTTAGGGTATAGGCTTCTGGTGCAGATGGGGGGGTAAGCTTTCGGGTTCAGGGTTTAGGGTTCTGGTGCTGATGGGGAACCTTGAGGGTTGAGGGTTAGGGTTTAGTGCATTTCTCTTTCCAGGTACATACCCCTCCTCCACAGCTTCAATATTGCTTTGTAGCTATACATATGAATATGTGTGTGTGTATATATATATAATTTTTATATAATCATAGGGTGTCTGATAATAAGGCTGAAAACGTATAAACCCTGAGTAGTGGGATCATCAATGATCATCCTTACGAGGATCCCACCCCAAAGAACAGATAAACCCGAGACCGAGAACCCACCCCTGAACCCCTAAACCCCTAAACCCCTAAACCCTAAGTTTAAGAAGACCCCCAAGAACCTAGGAGCTGAAAACCCCGTTCTTCCGTCGTTGGGTCGAGGAAGCTCCCCATGGCTACGGATTGAAGGTTCAGGCTGTAGGATTTAGGGTTCAAGGTTTGGGGTATAGGTTCTTTTTCTTTTAAGGGTATAGGGTTTAGGGTATAGGTTCTTTTCCTTTTAAGGGTATAGGGTTTAGGGTATAGGGTATAGAGTTTAGCGTTGCGGGTTTAGGGTATAGGGTTTAGGGTATAGGGTTTAGGGTTTAGCGTTTAGGGTCTAGAGTATAGGGTTTCGGGTATAGGGTTCAGGGTTTAGGGTTTAGGGTATAATATAGGGTTTAGGATTTAGGGCTTAGGGTTTTATGTGTTGATGCAGGTAGTACGAACAGAGCCACAACCCAAAAAACTAAACCGCAGATGCGAAGCACCTTAGCAATATTCAATATCGGTCTATTTCCAACAGTAAGCTTAATCGCAGCAACAACGCCATAACCAGAGAAGCAAAGCAAGAGTAGTCGTATCACGACCCACCGATTACCCACAAGTTGGGGAACCCAAACGGCGGAGCACTTTTTTTTCCTAACGTTGGCGGTCCCCGGTCTCCCTTGCTAAGGTTGGCGGTCCCCTTTTGGTTAGAACTACTATGCACTGAAGCATTTCCGGTTGTTTTGCATCTAGCTCTTAGGCAACTGCAATTAGCAGGGTGGACTTTGGCCGCCAGCTATTGGGGAATTCTATACAATTTGCAAGGTGGCCTTCTACCGCAACCTACTCGGGAATTGCAATTT